CCCTCACCAGCTTTTCCTGCTGCTGTGAAGGTCTCCAAATCCCCCCTCCCTCATCCATCTTGCCCCCGTCCCTGGAGGCAGGGTGGTGCATCCATGGGGGCCGGGGAGCCCCTGTGCAGAGTGGGAGTGGGGGCAGCCTGCAGCCTTTGGCTACGCGGAAGTAAGAGAGCCATGACAAAAAAGTACCTGCTTATTAGCGGTACTATTGAATATTAAAACTGAATTCATTCAGAATTATAGGTTTGTTGAAGCTAAAGCTTCCCTTTCTGTTTGCTTTTAAAACAAGATGTTTTTTGAGATGCTTACAGCTGTAAACAGTTTAAAAACCGGTACGATGTCATAATTGAGTATTTTAAGGGCAAAGGTACTACCTAAGACAATTTATTACTTCCATGTTAATTCCTCTGAAAATTACAATCTATACCTGTAAATGAGCATATATACAGTATTCTGAGATGACCAAACGTTTCCTAAGTGCTTTTTTTACATGTATTAGATGGTGTTCAAGAAGTGGCTTATATTCATTCAAACCAGAATGTGGTTGGATCGAGCAAAGCTGAGAATCATATGAGTCGGTGGGCTGTGCGAGATGTGTTTGAATTGAAGCAATTTTCCCAGCTCCCTGCTAATGTACCAGTCTACAGTGACAAGGTAAAGAGGCAGCTTTAAAAATGTTGTTTTTACTGTGTTTTTATCCTCTTAACTTTTTCTTTTAATGGCTACCATGAATGATCAATCCACTGATGCCAGAGGAGGAGGGGTTTCAAATGGAGGCCCAATGAATTACTGCTGGTATTTCTATGCTGGCAAGCCATAAACGATTTAGGTATTGGAATACAAGAGCAATTCTAACATCCAGGTAATGTCTAGTGAGAAGTATGAAAAACACAAATATAATCAACCTGTTTCATGTAACTTTTGGAATAATGATAAGCCAAAAGTATGAAATCAGGTACAACTTCAAGTTTTTGTTCTTAGCTATTGCTTGCTATACATAAATCTCTAGGGACATTCTGATTTTCACGTGGCTTTCAGACATCAAATGTGAGATTGTTTGTGTGTTGGTTAGTTTAACTCCTTTTATACAGTTCCATGTTTTGATTCAGATTTAGATGGACAGTGGCCGTCTAATTGTAAAGTGAACTGAGCACTCTCTACTCAATTGTTCCATGCTTCAAACATTTGTAACTTATTTAAGCTGAGCTTTTTGATAAAACACAAATGTTTGCAGCCTGGAAAAATGGTTGATTGGCAGATGTTCCGATTGGTCTTCACAGATGCATTAGCTAAGGGAACTGGTATGCCAGGTGAAAACTCTTACTCAGACATAAGCCCACAATGTCATTCCCACAATACTGTAGTTCCTCACTGCTTCTGATGTTTGTTGATTTACTGTAATTAATTGAACCAAAAGATGCAAAAGCAATTTTACATTGGAAAGTTCAGACCAGGCCAACTAGCAAAAAGTGAGACCTTTTCAATATCCAAATACAAATACTTTCCATCCCCTCCTGAATAGATCATTGGGTCACAAGTATTTGCGAATTCTACAGATATATCCCAGCCTACCCACGGCTGACAGCATAAGTGGAATGCAGTACAAGTGAAAGGAAAGTTTGAGGAAAGACCTGTGGCGTAATGTCTTAAAATGCAGGCTGTGGGAGTTCAGTTTTATTATTCATATGATTTATTTCTTATTACAGCTGAAGTAGCGTGGAATTTGCATGCCCACAGGTGTTACAAATTAATTGGTATCTCTGCTTGTTAATCCATGTGATTTGAGTTATCTCTTTCTGAAAACAAAGGAACAGCAATATTGGTTCACTTGAAGAGATTTAAATAGGAAGCACAACATCAGTAATAGTGGAAGAAACTGTATATAGATTTTATTTCCTGGTGTTAGTCTGACACACATGCATTAAACTAGCAATAATCCCCTTAGATGGCTGTTTCTTCTCAGATGTAGGACCCTAAGAACTGATGTCCTATAGAATTTTTTCTGAAAAAATGATCCATTTAGACAAACTGCTGCTGCTCATTTCTCTGTGTTTTTCTTTTCCCATTTCTTTATTTTTATTACAGATTATATTATATGAAAACAGTCATTGTTACTGTGGTGCTCATCTGTTTCTGCTGGATATTTTATTAATTTGCAGTCAGTTTTGCACATGGCGGCAGTCACGGTCACAATTATTTGTTGTGGTATCATGAAGAGAATTATGGAAAAATGAAAAAAAGCAACATTCAGATACCCTTGAGAGATTTTTAAAAAGCTACTGTTTCATACTATAAAATAAGGTCAAAACAATATGTTGAAGATCTGAAATCATTGTGTGGTGTTTAAGGTATAAACCCACTAAAAATTTCTGGGACACTAATTTAATTCTAAAAGTTCTTGAAGAATAGAGAGTAGGGCTTGATGTTCCCTTTGGATTTTATTCTTCATGGTTTTAATCAGGCTTTTTTAAAATAGGGACTGTTTGTAATTATTTTTTCTTTTGATACCCACTGTAGTCTCAACTTTTTAATTGATACCTTGCCTTATGTAGAAGATAGCATAAGTTCATTTGCAGAATGGTCAGTCATTCTTCATCTGAAGACTTTCAGATAGCCTAAATTTTTCCCATTTATATATATTTTTTTTTTCTAGCTATCACTGGACAGAGATATAGTGTTGTGATGGTCTCATTTTTTTTCTTTTTGTAGCAAGTCTTTTATCCTTTTAAGTAACAAAATGTCCTTTTCCCAGTCCAGTTCATCATATTAGTTTCACCTTTATAAAGCTGAAATTTATTAATATATTTTTAAGATATACAAAAATGGAGTAATAGTTCTGAAAGAGAGGGAGAAACACAGAAACCCTAAAAACTGGCTGAGGCACACCAACTGAGGTGGATTAATTTTAGATTAAGAAATAAGGGGTATGGAAAGGGGCATGATTAAAGATTAGGTGAGTTGTTTTTCTTTATTTCTGTCACCCTTGAGAACTAGAATGGAAATGCAGAAATAGAAGATATTATAAGCCATGACATTATGCTGTGAAACTATGACCGTCTAAACTTTCTTCAGAGAATATTGTATCGTTATATTTGGTTAAAGCAAAGCTTGAACTGTCATTTGGATGCTCTGTAGCAAGAATTCAGGCTCATACAAAGCAATACAATGGTAGCTAATCATATGGTAACTGAGTGAACATGACAGCAGCAAAAGGAAGTATTAAAATCTGAGTACAGTCGACACTTTCCATAAAATTGTTTTATGAAACAGATGAATATCTGTTGCTCTTCAAAATTGTCAACATCATTGTATTCTTCCCAAGAACAAATTTATAACAAGGACATCTACAGTTCTCGAATCTTATCACACGGTTGTATACCACCACATTCACAGCCTCCTAGATACAAGGGCCATTTATTCTAACAGAGAGTACTCTGTGATTTAGGAATAACAGAACAAGCAGCAACCTTGGCTACATGTCTTATTTAACACCAGTGAAATTTGAGGTAGGATGGCTTTCCAGTGCACATGTAGGAAGAAGGCTGCTTAACAAGTAAACCTATCAAAGTAAATAGTTTCTGTATTAAGCCTTGCTATGCTTTGCCCACTCAACTAATTTCATGGGTTCTAGAGGTTGTTTCATCCTTAATATTATAAACGTTCTTTAAAATATTCATCATTCTGCACACACTTGCTTAAAATAGTGATTACCTTATGTGAAACCATTGGGAAATTATCATCATGAACTATTTTTTGCCATTTGGTACAAAGACGATTTTGTTTTTCTTCTCAGCTAGGATATGAAACTAGTTGGAAAGGAAATGGTATTCAAAGAAGGCCTAAGGAGTATTCTACAATAAATGTTCATTCAGTATAAATGTAGACTCGAGAAGAGGTGAAGAACCCAGATAGAACTGTCCATGTTTTTGTCTTGCTAAAGAAAAGGAAAAATAGTCAAGACAGCTAGTCCCATAACAAAGCCAAGCTATTAAACATTCTTCCTAGGAAGAGATAAATAGTACGGGAAAAAATACAGGTGCTCACCTCATATTTGAGATGTCCACTGAATATTTTCAGTTTGCATTTTTAAATTCTTTTATAGCTATGGTGATAAAAGGCCAAAGAAGCCTGGCTGATCTTTCATACTAGGTTTTCATAATTTATTTCTATTGTCTTTTGTTTTTTGGATAACTTGAACTCTTATGTGAACTTTTTCTTAGTTTAACATAAGAAATGCAAGTCTCCCAGAGCCAGGATGAAACATCCTCTTCTACTGTTTCAAATGTATTCTGAATTGAATGCCTAGATTCCTTAATTATGGCCCTAATTAATGTCTGTGTTAATTGGGAAAAACAACCTATGTGAAACAGTTTACAGAAAATTCAGAAGTACAGAAGTCCGGCTTTTCTTTAGGCTCCTTTAAAGCTGTTTTTTGAGTGCGTTTTCTGAAGGGACCTTTTTTTTAAGCTGGGTTGGGAGAAAGAGTTTGAAGATGGGAGAAAATAATATACTTCCCTGAATAATCATAAAAAGGGGGCAGGATGCACTTACCTATTTTGAAAAACTGATAATATCCTACATTAGAGCTAATTTACCCTTTTAATATATGGAAAAGTATTAGTCATAGAACTCATACTGTACCTGTTGGTTATGTGGAGCCTCATTTTTTTTTTTTTTCAGTCAACTGCATGTTTTCAACTTAAGTTTACTTAAAGTTTTACTGAAAAGAAATGTACAAAGACAGCCATTCAATTGAGGATTAATCACTATGGCAACTGAAATGTGGTGACTGAAAAGGGGGAGGATGTATTCTCCCCTCAGCTTCCTGCCAGCTGTCATATTCAACCTCTGCGGCATGAATCCAGGCCAAAATATAGACTGTGACCAGCTCTAAGAAACTATATCTGTATTTTTATAAATTGGTACAAGAATCACACTATAAAAGAAGACTTAATCCCCTGAATTGGATGACAGACACTTGGCACTCTTGCCAGTGTTTGACAGGGAAATAACGGGATGCTTTGTAGTAAAACCTGGATTAATGGTAAACCCTTCTTTATGTTATTGCAGTTTGGTGTAAATGAGAGAACTAAGCATGCTGTCAGCCTAGGAAAAAACGTGCCCTTTGTATACCCAATGCAGGTTTAAGTGCTGTTCAGAATACTGTAAATACAAAAGTTGTGTTATTAAGAACTGCTTTTTATCGTATTTGTATTACATTGACATTTTGTAGATTACTTAAACAAAGGATTTCTGTTAGCTATGTTAGCCTTGGTCACAATGTATTTATATAGATTTTGGATTCAGCAGGCAAAGATAGTTGTTTACAGTGACTAGACTTTTGGGAGGTAGCATTCCATCATCCTGTTCTTCCAGGATAGTGAATGCTATTGTGTTTCAAAATAATTGTTCCCAAATGATTGGTCTGGTAATGTTGTTTCATTTAAGTTTACTGTTTCAGTATATTATGAAATTAACCCTTTAAGCATGTCTTAAAATACTGCATTTGAAATATTGTAAAACGTGGCCAGAAGTTGTTCTGGTGCTATTTAATATAAGTGGGAGGGGAGTTTGACGGTATGTATGTAGATCCTCTAGCCTCTAATGGAACAAGCAATTGCAATAGACCGAAGTTTTAAGACAGGCTAATGGTC